TAAAAATAAGCTTTTTTAATGATAAATAAAAATAATGTTTTATTAACACTGTCTGGACTAGAAGTTGTAGGAAGAATGTGACTGTATCTGAAATAATTGATCGTGAGCGTGAAACAAATGGTCAACATTATTATTAAAAGTGTTTCAGTTGTATGATAGGTTAATAAAATTGCTCAGGTTTACAGCAGTCTGGTTTACCCTAACCAAAAGTTATTTTTATTTGTCAAAATGTGTAATAGCCTATCAACAGAGCTGGGTAGAAATTGTAGTCCGTTACTGAAACCAAATTACACGACAAAATGTGTACAGTAGTTAGTAACGTGATTTATTACATTACATATTTTAGGTAATATAATAAGATTATACTTTACTTTTAACTTTAACCTAATTAATTTATCTCATTGATTTAAATATTGATATTGTATCATATTGATATTTAAATGCAAAGATAATATATTCCATTTGTTCCAAAAGTGAATTAAGCATTACATTATTTCAAGGTTTCCCAAACTGGGGTTTGTGAAGGAACTGCAGGGGTTTGTGAGTGAAAAGCTAATAATTATTTTTGTCATAAAAATGTAAAATTGAAATAAGTCATTTTAAAATAACATCAATCAAAATAAAACACTTACTAAAAATGAGTTGTTTTGTCTACCAGCATAGCATGTAGGCATTTTAGAAAGGAACATTTAAAAGATGAAATTAGGGAGAATCAAAATATTATGAATATTTTTTTGCTAGTGTGTGAATATATGTAATCAAGTGATCAATTAAAAAGTACTAACTGTAGTCTGATTACGAGTATTTTAAAATGTAATTTAATCATGTAATCAGTTACTTTCCAGCTCTGTCTATTACAATAACACAATTTGAAATAACTACAAAGCTAAGTAAAGCCACAGTTTGTAATCAAATTATAGTTATAAAATGTACAATTTCAAAAATTGTGCCATAAATGAGAACAATAGTAGTAATAGTAATACTAATACATATGAATAGTAACAATTGTTTAAAGTTGTTTTGTATACAAGTGAGTGGTGCTTTGCAATGACTAGGTTGTGTTTAACTTGTAGGTAGAAGCTAATTACTCCATTAGTAGTTCGTTTTTGCCTGTAAGCTTTTAAACCGTTTCCCAGATGGTAAAAGTGAAAACAAAACTTTATTTTGAATCCTTTACTGACATCTCTTGCTATCTTAGAGACACCAGAGACTTTCTTCAATGTCTGTCAGTCATAACAAATCTAGATGAAGACATACTTGCTACAATGGACGTGACCTCTTTATACACTAACATTCCCCACACTGAGGGTCTTTTGGCATTGAAATATTTTCTTGATCTACGCAGTGATGATGGATGTCAGCCAACCAAATTTATTGTGGATATGGCTGAATTGGTTTTGACAAAGAGTCATTTTCTGTTTGGGAAACAAATTTTATCTACAAATTGAGGACACAGCGATGGGTGCCGCTATGGCCCCAAACTATGCAAACCTATATCTTGGTTATCTTGAAGATCAATATATCTTTAATAACAATCCTTTTATCAATAATTTGTTATCGTTTAAAAGATATATTGATGACTGTTTCATCATTTACAAAGGTTCTGCTGGTGATTTTGAAGTTTTTGTCTTATATATGAAGTGTCTTATGTCATCCATTAAGTTTACCTATCATGCGGGGACAACAGACATTAATTTTTGGGACACAAACATCTCTGTTATCAATGGCCAACTTGTATCTTCTCTGTATAGAAAGGAAACTGCAAAAAACAGTATCTTACATGCAAGGAGTGCTCATCCCATGTCTTTGAAATGTGGTCTGCCGTATAGTCAGTTTGAGACTTTTTCGCATTTGTTCTAACAAGGATGATTTTGAATTAGTGATTTCAGATCTCGGGGATATCCAATCAAGTGGCTAGATACTGCATTAGAAAAAATTTGATCTTTGCCAGATGATACCAACTTGACCCCCAAAAATAAGAAGTGTTCTTGTGTATTTAAATCTACTTTTAGTCCCTTGAGTCCAGAAATCAAAAAGGCAATCAATAATCATTGGCGTATCCAGAGCGATTGTGATTTGTCAGGCCTGTTCACTGATCCACCTCTCTTTGTTCACTCTAGGCCTCCAAATCTACGTAAATTGATAAATTGGTGCGTGCAGATACTCACATCCCCACTCCTGGGACCCTGTCTGATGGCCATGGAAATTTTCCGTGTAAGGATTGTGTTGCCTGTTCTCATTATTTAAAATGCAAATCATTTACACATCCACAAACGGGTAAAATGTACAAAATGAAACAATTGATCACATGTAAAACAACACGTGATATACATAATTATGTATTCTTGGCCTTTACTGTATGTTGGTGAAACAAAACGTGCATTGCGCACTAGAATCGTTAAACATGAGTGCTATCAGGAGACAAGATCACACTTCTCCAGTTTTTCGTCATTTTGAGTCTGCAAAACAGTCTTTTTCTGATTTTAAATTCCTGGGCATTGAGAGGGTTCTATTGCATAGGAGAGGTGGTAACCGTGATAGAAAGTTGTTACAAAGAGAGGCTTTTTGGATTTTTGAGTCGAAATCCTTAACCCTGACTGGATTAAATGAAGAGATGGATCTTGCATGTTTTTTTGTAAAGAGAAGTTGTTGGAATGACAATTATCCCTCATTGATTAAGATCAGCTGTCAACAATTTGCAATTGTGCCTATATAAGTGTGTTGTTGCTTTTTTGCCTCATGAGCACTGAAGAAAGCATGGGTTGAAACGTCTGCTCTTTGGGCTGTTTTTAATACTTTTTCACTTTTGCATATGGAAAATAAAAATTATGTTTTTGATAGACCTTTTTTGGTCTGATTTGATTTTTCCAGTGTGCGGACAAACTCAGCTACCTGGTAAAGTGAAAACAGACAATGTTTGTTTCAAGCAGACATGTTCCAATAAGCTCATTCTGTACGGTGTAATATAAAACTCTTGTCATGGTCTTGGATTAGTGTAAGAGATTAATATACCTTTCATCAACCCTTGATTCATAGCCCTAAAAGTGCAGATTAAAACGAATATCTGTATGTTGCACTTGGTTTAACCATCCTTACCTGAAACAAGTCCAGTAAGTGCTTTCCATTTCATTGAAATGCTAAATGACATAAATGGTTACTGTAAGTTTTTATAACATTTTTAACATAATTCAGTGCAGCCAGTCCAAGATCGGTCACAACTGGCCCAGCATAAAGTGACCCTGATGGATCTTGTGTTTATGATTTGATTGTATTCCATCAGCATTGGCTGTGTTGAAAAATAATGTTGAACTGTCGATCAGGTTTTTTGGCTTTATTGGGGTAATTGGCCTGAATTATAATACAAGCAACCAGTCCAAATATTCAAAGTAGATTGCTGAAGAGCCGAGTGACAAGGTTTCTTACAAAGTAGTTACCCAGGCAACAAGTCAGATTTCAACAGCTTTCAAATAATAATACGTCGCTTTCAGTCCTACATCAGTACATACACACACTGCATAGTATGTCTACAGCAGACACACCGATACACCAAGCAACACTCACACAAGCATAAACAACTGGGTGAATGAATATGTACACACATAAGTTACATACAAGGCAAAAGAATAGACCAGGGGCCCGTTCTTCGTACATCGCTTATTACATCCGAGATTAAATGTCACATCCAAGATGATTTCATCGCGCTAATCAGGATCTGGCTAATTCGGTTCTTCGAACGCAGCTGTTGTTGATGATTAGTATGGCTGGATTGAGTTATCGGAGATAATTGCGCGTTCATGGGTTGGTTTAAAAGGGGCTCTGTATCGATACTCGAAACCACGATCAGCAATGCAGCGATTGGCTGGCGGCAAGACAGCAACGTAGTGACATCATATAATTAAAAAAGACACCTGACGAAAAACGTGACAAATTTTTGCACTTTAAAGGGATAGTTCGCCCAAAAATGAAAATTTGATGTTTATCTGCTTACCCCCAGGGCATCCAAGATGTAGCTGACTTTGTTTCTTCAGTAGAACACATATGATGATTTTTAACTCCAACCGTTGCAGTCTATCAGTCGTATAATGCATGGTAATGGTAACAAAATCTACGAGAGTAAAAAAACCATGCAGACAAATCCAAATTAAACCCTGCGGCTCGTGACGACACATTGATGTCCTAAGACACGAAACGATCGGTTTGTGCGAGAAACCGAACAGTATTTATATCATATTTTACCTCTAATACACCACTATGTCCAACTGTCTTTGGGCGCGTGAACGGCATCCAGTGTGTGAGGTGTGTACGCGCTCATATGTGTTCTACTGAAGAAACAAAGTCAGCTACATCTTGGATGCCCTGGGGGTAAGCAGATAAACATCAAATTTTCATTTTTGGGTGAACTATCCCTTTAAGGAAACAACCAAGTGAACAAAACTACATAAATGTTATAACATAAATGAAATGTGCACCGTTTTTATTTTATTTAATTTTCTTTACATGATTCCCAATTATTTATATTCACGATTTCTAATATTTGTACAGGCTTTACATTTTTATTTCAATGTAGTAATTAGCAATTCATTTAATTTTATATTTGAACAGATTTGTTACGTGCCAGCATTAATTAAAATTTCTTAAGGGTCAAGATCACGTTATCTGCATCTCCTGCGCTCCATCAAGCCACTCCCATAATAGCTGTCAGCACTATCTTTAAATTAATTTTTAAATTATTATTATTTTTAAATTATTGTCCCTGGATTAGTGGGGTAATCTTGTAATAAAGTAGCGGTGGTAGAGGACAGATTTTAAGTATCAATTCTGCTTAAAAAGATGCAATCTAATCCTGTTTACATGAAATAAGCCTGCTCCTGAGCAGCTTTAAGCTTACGGACCTGTTGCTATGACAGCAACTCCGGGATGAGCTTCGAAGTACCAAACAATCCAAGATCACGCCAAATCATCAACAATCAATCCAGCTAACTGAGTTAGCGACGTACGAAGAACGGGCCCCAGAATCATAAGATGTACTGAACATACAGGGGGTTTCAAAAGTCTGACACGACTAGTAAGAATGATTGAACATAAAATGTATTTTTATAATAAATATTTTTTCCAATGACAAATACTTTCGGTATAACAATTTAAGTAGTTGCAGTGGGAAAAAAAAGTCGCTTTTTTGCTTTAATGACAGCAGCACATTGAGCTGCATGAACAAATTTGCTTATTTTATTAGTCACCTAAATCAAATCATAAATATTTCCTTTACATCAACTATTGTTACAATTCTGACAAAATCTTAAAATGGTTCAAATAGATCCTAAATCCCAGATTTTTAGTGTGGTTTCAGACTTTCGGACCCCACTGCATATCCAGATACAACATTAAAACACTTACACACATACAATGAGATCAAAGGGGGGTAATGCCACATGGAAAACATTAAATCATATGACACAAACTGATAATGGTGGAGAGGAAAAGTAAATCTAATGATGAATATAAATGATAACTAGAAAGGCACTTAAAACAAAAAAACAACAGTTTGGGAGAGAAAAGCTGGTGGCTGTTTGTGTTTATGTGAGTGAGTGCGGTTGAATCCAGCCCTCGTCTGAATGTGCCGTCCACATCACTCGCATGCTAAGGCAAGTTCAACCCAAAAAAATCATAACAAAACAACAAATTAAAATACAGTGGTAAAAAAAAAAAGAAAAAAAAAAAAAGAGACATCTAAAGCTACATGATCCTTAAGATTAAAGCAATGCATAATGTTTTTTTCTTCAACAGGTGGGTCTGCTGCTCTGAAGCAATGCTGGCAAAAGTCCTACTGTAATCCTAAGGTCAAAAGTAACGCACATTTGAAAATCTGTGCCAAATTGACTGATTAACAAGAACAAATGATGCATTATGTAAATTTATTTGGTTTCACAAAGCTTCAGCTGTATTCTATTCATGAATGCAAGATAACAATAAAATAAAAAATGGGTGCTATTTAGACTGTAGATCCCATTATAGTGGTTTTGTCTGTTTTTTTTTTACCCATTAAGATGCGGAAGACATTCCACTGGTCATCTCATAAAATGTTCAAAAATAAGTGCTGGGAAACACTTAGCGGTGTAGTTGCAGTGTACACATGTTGCCACTAGATGTCATATTGCTCAAAAACAGCAGCATCTCATAAAGCTTAAACAACATATCACCTTCAATACAATGGCTTGCGATATTTTTTGCTCAAAGTGTATGTCTGGAAAGCCATAGCAGTTGTGCATTAGATTGTTGGTATTTAATGGTGTTTTTTTTGTTTGTTTATTTTTGTTTTGCTTGAAAACTTCAGATTATTCGTCCTTATTCAGTTGTGAGGCAGAGCTGCTCCAATATTCATTTGTGCTATGGCTTTCTTGGCTTTCATTACCACAGGCAAACAGCCATGCACAGACCTGCGCTCATAAGGCAACTCCATTCAACAGTCCAGCTAGGGACCACAGGGGAAGCACTTAAAGGGACAGTTCACCAAAAATTACTTCTGTCAGCATTTACTCAACCCTCATGGCATTCCAAACCTGTATGACGTCTTTTATGTTCTGTAAGAGATTTTTTGAAGAATGCTTCAACTGTTAGAATAAAGAATGCTTCAACCCACAGAATAAAGTCATACAGGTATGGAACGACATGATAAGTAAATGATGACATTTTAAATTTTTTTGGTAAACTATCCTTCGTGTCGTGTCATTTTAGGTTAAAGGCTAGTAGTGGTCGCTCCTCTCGTTTCTGCCACGGACTCTTCTTGTTCTCGTCTTCACCGTCATCATCAGGGACGACCAGGTTATCTGGTCGGCTGCTGCCCATGTGCATTTGAGTCTCCTCAGTCCTGAAAACATCGCTATCTGTCCCCGTCTCCTCCGCCATTTCAACCACAGGCTCAGGGAGAGGAGGTGGAGAAGGAAGCTCAGGTGGAGGCGACGGGGGAGACAAACTCCCTTCGTCTTCCTCTTCCCTCTCTTTTTCCTGCAAAAAACCCCCTTGAGAGTGTTCTTCAGGACTGCAGACTGGTGTTGGGCTACCGCTGCTCTCCGCATTAGCATTTGAGTCCTCTACAAACACTAGTGGTGTATATTCGACCACGGGCACCGCAGGCAGAGCCCCAGCTTCAGTTTTAACCCCGACTTTATTACGAACACGCCGCCCTGGTGTGACGTCGCTCATGTCAACCCCAGAGTCCAGACTGGCGTCGTTGCTTCCGACACAACTGCTGTTGCATCCTGCCCTCTGCAGGTCGATGTAGGAATGGCGGATGTGCTCATTGGAGCGGCCGTCCAGTGACACGAACCAAGCTCTGGGGTGAGGGAGCGGCTTTCCTCCCCGGAGCTCCATCAAAGTCTTTTCGGCCAGAAGCTGATCTTCTCCGTTCATCTGCACCACATCCAGGCCCGCTTGGTTGAGCGAGTTGGGGATGGAGAGATCAGCGGGAAGAGTAGCTGTCTGCAGCGTCCACTCCTCAACTCCTCCGCCTCGGTCGGCTCCCTTCCCTTGCGTCCCTCCTTCCTGCTCTCCTTTGCCCCACGGGTGCGGGACTTGGCCTTGGGGCTGATGGCACGCACTGAGTTCCGCCTGAATGCTTTCCAATTCGCTCTGTTCGTCTGACTGCAAAAGCAGCGCTTGGCCTGACAGAGGGTGCGTCCCTGGAAGTCGCATGTAGTGGGCGGGGATGACGAGTGTGGGACGAGCTTTGCGGTAGGTTTCTTCCCCTTGGTTGACTTGCAATTCGGAGGTGCAGCAGAGCAGGGCTCCAGGTCGGGGAAGTGGGGCGGGTCGCTCCAGATGGTCTACGGAGCGGGACAGCATGTAGTCGGCTGGCCTCCGCTCGATTCCTTGCTCCCGCTCTGGGGATCCGGCAGGACTTGTGGATGCGACTGAAACAGGAGAGAGACAGTTTTCACGCAAGCTTGATTTACTCTTCGATGACAGTCGTCCTGCAGAGGTGGTGTGATGCAATGGATGGGGGGAAGAGGATGAGATGGACATGTGGAGGGGATGGACAGATGAAGTCGTGATGGACGTATAGCTCCGCCGGTACTCTCCACGTCCCGCCGGGGAATCATAACCCTGGGAAGGATTGTTTGAACAAGCAGATTTGAGGGGAAATATCTCTACTGAGTGTTTGTAGTGGTTGGATCCTCGGCTATGGAGCTCGCTGTGCGAAGCTGCAAGCTCATTGGTGGAGGAGTCGTAGGGGGTGGGTTTCAGCATAGGTGTGTGCATGTCCGGCTCTGCCCCATTGTGGTCTAGGTGAGTCTCACTGATGAGGTTCAGGTGGGACATGGAAGTAGCCTGGTCTCGTTTAGAGGCATCTAAAGCGGAGGATGGAGTAAACTTCCTGTGGGCAGGCCGCAAGCGGGCACAATTCCTTCTGAAAGCACAGAAACATGATCTCATAAGCACTAGGGGAAAACTTTAATTTTCCTCTTGACCACAGAGATCACTAACTTCCAAAACACTATTTACTTCCCCTAACATATCAGATGATGTATCATCATCCTGTAAATGTTAATGTCATACTGTATCTGTATGTTACTATTATGGGTGGGCGATATACCAGAGATTTTCGACTATCGTCTCTATCGCGGTTACACGCTCACTATGTTGTGTGCTAGGTGGTCACGAAAACTTACCATTGGCACACATTTTCAAGCATTGCGGTTTAAAAACAAGTGATTTTAAGCCATTTAAATGCAATCAGCAGTGAAAGAGAACTAATTTAGCTATATGCAGGCGCTGTCTGAAAGAGCGCTGAAAGGCACACAGGTGAAGACGGTGGTCATAGAGCGTGGGAGTATTGAACTTTTATTTTTGCAGCTTTATAGGCCGTGAACGGTTAAATACACACACTTGTGTCAAAATGCCCGTCTTTGCAAGTATCCTCGTAAACACAGTAATTTAGGTCTTAAGTCAAAGCAAACAGCTGAGAAAGAAAACACATGACGTTTAACAGTATATTGGATCTGAGCAGCTCTTAAAGTGACAGCAGTCTAATATTCCT